GACCATGAATATCTGAACAAAATTTCAATACAGTTCATCAAATAGTCTTGCAGATATTTCAGTCTGGACCAAAGTGCTGGTCCCACAGAGTGACGTCAACTAAAACCCTCAAAGTGCTCAGATGGCTTTAAGATTAGGAGTTTCTCAGAATAGTCTGTCAGGTATGTGGGAATCCCCCGATTTAGCAGCAGAGTGGGACCCTTCCTGTACAGCAGAAACTAAGAAGATTTCCATGAGCCTCTGTCAGTGCTAATAACCTCGGTGGTCTCACAGACAGCTCCCCCAGGGCTGTTTGACCATGCAAGCGACAGGGAGGGGGTGATGTTCGGAGAGGTTGGGGGTCGAGGGGGTTCGAGCTGATGCCTCTCGGACTGTCTCAACTCATTTAGCTCTTCATGGGGAACGGCCTCACTGTCTCTCTCATGTAGAAACAAGGTTCATTACAACCCCGCTGTGTTTGGATAGGATCGGAGATGGTGAGAGCACAGGAGCGAGGAATGGGGGTACGATGAGCGAGCGGACAGCGTGGCCAAAAGACAAAAATACATACAGACACGCAAGCAGATATACAGAGGCTTGCCTGCGTGTGTGTGTGTGTGTGTGTGTGTGTGGTGGCGGGGCCAAGGCCTTCTGGGCATGCCCCACTGCTGACATCAGCAGAGGCAGTCGCACACCCCCCACAGAGAATCTCGAACCACGGATGGTGGGCGAAAAGGAGGAAGAGAAGGGAGGGGCGAGGAGGAGGGGGAGGGGATAAGGATGGGGGGTACAACACTTGTAATTGGATCATTGGCTACAGTGGGTTGAGTCGATGTGATCAATAGAAACTGCACATGCAGCAGAGAGCCTTTAATGGCCCTTAATCTCCATCAGGCCCGGACAGGAGGCGGGTGGAAGAGGAAGTCACAGGAGCAAAGGCAGCAGGCATCACATAACCCACTCAACCTGTACTCACACACTGGCATGCACTTAGATCCTCCCTCATACACACACACACACACACACACATTCTGTACATACATATACGCTATAGAGTCCTGAACCGGTGACTCCCAGGACTCCAGGCCCCGGCAGCCAGCATGTCATATTTCATTCCTTTGGCACCTTTTCATTTCATTTCAAATGCATTGCATCTCAGGCCTTTCCAATTCCTCACTACCCCCTGCGATGCAAAGCCTTGGCTCGAACACACACCGCCCCGGCACGAAAACACATTCCAACCTTTGAATTCATCAGCACAGTGTAAAAGTGGTTGCAGTCCGGTTATGAAGTATAGATAGATGTGGTACCAGACCTTCGGATGATGTGCTCTCTCATTCCTCCACTTCATATATTTTACACATCTGCTCCATAGATTACAGTTTCATATTTATGAGGCCTGCTGCCGGGTGTCGCCAAGTGTCCTAAAAGGGCAGTGCAGCATAATAAACACAGATAGGAATTAGCGAATAGAAATACAGTGGCCGTCCTCTCGCTCTCCTTGTACCTCACTCTGATGCTCTTTCATTACTTTCTCCTTCTCGCTCCCTCCCTCGTGCGCTCTTTTTTTTTTCTCCTCCTCCCTCACACTGTTCTCACTTATCCATAAATTTAAGAGTGGATTGACAATAACCTGGAACCTCAGGGCAGCAGCAGGACTGTGCATGACCTACTCTAAAATGAATAACGCTGGCCCAGATATTGTCAGATGATCTCAGACCTGTAGAATTTGCACAAAGTACAGTTCCTTTTGTTTACTGTCTCATGTCCCTTTCTGTCTCCATTTATTCTCCATTAGTCATATGCACTCACCCCCCAGTGGATTATAAAGCACAATGTCTTTATTCATGTACATGATTCTTTATGCTGAGATTCATTCACAGCTCCACTTATGTTAGTGATACACAGGGAAAATCTTTCTCCTGCCCAAGGAATTGCATCAACGTTGATTCGGTAACGCTTATTGTTGCCAGGAGACATTTGAACAGATTAATGACCCTGTGCCTTGAATTGTTCTCGGTCACTTTGGACGTTGTCTGTATGCAACACGTAAACAATTCATTTGTCCAGAAAATGCAGGCCTGACAGGAGAGCTCTGACAGATCACTGCCTAAAAAACAGCATTAGTAATTCCTCCTGTTGGAATAGCTTATATAAAGATTTAAGAAGTGTATATTTGCTTTGTATTTACAGTTTATATATACATATATTAGAATTATACAAAAAATATTGGGCTTAACCACATTCAAACAAGTTAAAGTCACTTTTAATGTTGATTACACAACTCATAGCTATAGAATAATCACAATATCTGGTTCCCAATAAGTCTGCCACTGAGGAACAAGCTGCGTCTCTCATCGCACAACTAAAACAGGGTAAAGGAAATGGTGCAGCAACCTGAGCGACGACATCAGTGAGGATCAATAGGCTGACAGGCATGGTAAAAACTTTATGGATTTTTTTTTTACTGTCTGATGGTCTGACTATAAATAAATCTCCAGGACTGAGGAGTATTTAAAACAGTCAGCGATAATTCTACCAGATCAGTAAGTAGCCTAATAAAACCTACATATCTACAGATTTTTAAACATAAAGCGCATGTGACAAACATGAGGTGTAAAGAGGTGGACGTTTACATAGCAGTAGAAATCGACTGAAGATTCAGCTGCATCATGGGAAACCCACTTTATGGATGTGAAATGCTACATTTCTGGAATGTCCCTTTAATTTAAAGTTCTTCTGGCTTCTGGCTACTTTCTAACCTACTTTCCATTTATTTGTGTTTTGTTTATAAAACGTATAAGTTAAATGTAAAGAGGAACATTTTAGAGTTTAAGATCCTTCTGTAATTCAGTCTTCAGCTCTGGCTTCTTCCATCTTAGATCCCTTACAGCTTCCTGTTGTCTCGACTGCTGCAATTCTCTCAATGTAGGAATCAGTCAGTCAGCGCCGTCTCGCCTGCAGCAGGTTCAAAATGCAGCAGCAACGACTCCCTACTGATATGAAGAAGAGAAAACACACATCACCCCTGTACCGGCCTCTCCTCACGGTTCACCAGTCAAGTACTGAATTGATTTTAAGATTCTTTTCTTTTCTTTTTTTCAAAGCGAAACATGGACGAGCACCAGGTAACATCTCTGAACCGCTGCCTCAGAGCCCTCAGATCCGTCGGCCAATCCTTGCTCTGCATTCCACTCCATTCAGCTGTATTTGTAAAGAGCCAAATCAAAACGTTCATGCATTTTACATCGTTAGGAGACAACCTCACATTATTATAGAGGGAACCAACAGTTCCCACAATGAACGTGCACTCGGTTGGGAGATGGGTGAGAGTGGAGAAAGACTCTGTCAGACTGGTTGTTATAATTAAAATAATAATAGTGATGTCGTTTACTTACCCAGTTAAAAAAATGATCAAATATTTGCCCCAAATTGTGACATCGCTTCATGTCTCCCTCCACCGTCTACACTTTTTACCCAGAAACCCATCAAACAGCCTTCTCTTCTCCTGCGCTCTCTGGCTTTCATTCCTCTGTATATCATTTGTTGTTATTTGTGAAATGTCACTTATATGATTCTATCCAAATAATGTATGTTTTTATTAATCCGTTTATTTACTGGCTGCACATAATCAATAATCATCATTCAAATAATGAAAAGCACTTTGGTGATCATTTGTTTTTTAGAAGTGCTTCGTGAAGAGTTGTGAACTTCACTGATGTGACAGCAAATGTGACTAAAGGCAAAAAACCATGTTCAGGCTTAAATCTGCGTCCTTTATAGGGATGGCGCCTCCCTGTGGGCATCAGAGACTATAACAGCTTCAACACTAAATTGCACTATTGCTCTTTGAACCTTTCCTTTTGCTTGAACTGTAGATATAGTTATAGCATAAATATATGACATGTGATGTTAAATAGAACCATGCAGCTCTTCTGAAATACAAATGTCATGCATGTGATAATTATTTGTCCTGTTCGACGTCTTTATTAACAGAGGGAACATTCAGAAAGAAAATGACTTTGCAAATCACCTTTCTCTTTTCATTGTACCCAGAATAATAAAGTCTTTTCAGCTCAGATCTAAATGATATCATACTCAGCAAAATGCTCAGCCTCCATTTCAGTTCACAGATAATGATATAACCATGGCAACAGAGACACCTTGGGGAAGGGCAGGAAGAAAATTTACCCTTGTTTTTTTTAAACGAAAAATAAAACAGCTGAATATTTAGACTTATAGACTTACTGAGTAGCACCTCAAAACTCAGCTGATAGCATTCATGTTTGTCGATGTCTGTAATCTTCACCGGCAACATTAAAACATGTCTAATGAGAGAAGCAGAATCGAGGAGTCAGAATAATTCAAAGATCAACAGCACGTCACTTAACATCCTCATCAATAGGACTAATGTTCTGTGAGGACTCGGTGAGTGACACTCACATGGCCCAGAGTGTGAAAACCTTCAAAACACTGAGCCAGTGCCAACCCTGAGACTCGCCCTAACCTTGCCCTGAGCCAAGTGTTGATGAGTCTTGAGTGTGACTGAAACTTCAAAGATATTTCAGCTGGCGAAGCAGAAGATGCTGCTTCTCTCTCTTCTTCACTCGACCAAATCCCTCTGCAGAAGGACACTTTCTGATGGTTTGGAGAGAGATAAAAGTTTTGCTGGAACGGCTTTGACCACAGTGGACGGGAGCAAACGAAATGATGGAAACACTGAGGTCATTAACCCGTCACAGGACAAGCTGCTGAAAAGAGATGGTTTTGCAGTGCATGTATATTTCTTCTGTTTTAAATCGGATGATTGAGAAGCAACAGCAGTGTTGTCTTTTCATGAAACAGCATCTTTTCAATGAACAAGTCCACATCACATCTGAGGCCTCTACTCACATCAGTGTTTAGCATATTGGAGAATTTGCGCATCTCAGCACCATCACACTCACAACTAGGAATTGTTGGAGCATTGTGTGGTGATTAAATAGCAAGTTCCCTGCTTAATGTGTCTGTTGTGTTCACAGACAAATGGAGGCAGGAGGAGTGTGGTCTTTTCAAAGGCCGCCAGCGAAAAACCTGATGGATGCACAAATGAACACACAGAGGAGAGAAGTCGCGATGCGGAGCCTGCAATGTTTTAATTACAGCTCTTTCCTCCTCCTCGACAAACATAAAGGGGGATTTCTGTCACATGCTCTCCCTCTCCTCTCCACCTCTCTCTGCACAGCTTGGTGAGCTGGCATTAATTGCTCCAGAAGCTGTGGAAGCACAACAAGTGCTTCTCATCCTGGTGTAATTGTGTCTGTAGGAGTTTGGGGGGGCTTGAGGAGAAAAAGTCTTTGTGGTGCTTCTTGGGAGCTGAGGACATATGTGACAGAACATGATGTGGTGGCGCACTCTGGTGGACACACTGAAAGAAAAGGGTGCACAGAGAATTTACAAATCCTAATAAAAAACAACTTTTCACATAGTTTACACATGTAAAGTGTTAATGTCCAACTAAGTGATTTGTTTTCTTTAATTTAAGGACAAAATAACATAAGTAACACACACAGAACATCTGATGTCTACAAGAAGCAGAAAGTGACCTTGCATGTTCTTTTGATTTGAGTTTCATTCATGTACAGTCTATTAAACTCTTAGTTTTATTTATTTACTGATGTAAATATGTGTTCTGTCATTATTTCTTCTTGTATAGATCTAAAAAACTTGCTCCGAGTATCTGACAGATGATGTGAAACTGCCTCATTCGTTATCTTTTAACAATAAAGGAGAAATATGCTCATGATTTTATCATTTTAATTGGGGTTGTTACGTGATAACATTTACATGCTCTGATGTTCAAACATTGCCTTGATTTGAAATGATTTCTCAGTAACAGCAAATTAGATTAGACTGATTGTTTCATGATTAAAAATAGCAGACAGGAAATTCCACATATTGTGATATATACATATATATATATACATATATATATATATATATGTATATATATATACGGGAGATGTTCCTCGTCTTTATCAGAGAGATGTAAAATGGACTTATAATAGATAGTTGTATTTGATTGATTATTTGTCAGGTGAATAATATCATCTTGACGTCATTGTTATTTGAATCATGTTTGGATCAGAACGCCCCCTGCTGGTCTGTGCAGTAAACGTACACAATGAGTCCAAGAGTAGTATAAGTTCTGCATTCAAAATCCTACTGAAGAGTACAGCAGTATTATTAGCTTCCGTATTATTATATATGGTTTTACATAAAACTGCTAATACTGATGCATCCAAATGTAAAGCTGGTTTCATTCAGCTCAATATTCAGTCATTGAAAAATGTCAAAGAACCTCAAGTATGCTCTCATTTATTTTTTTAGTGTAAACAGCTTTTACGTGGTATTTTAATCTTCAAAGTAACTAAATGTCAATTAAGTGTAGTGAAGTGAAAAGTACAATCATTTCCCCTGTAGTATTGAGCTGGAATTATAAAGTGACTTATATAAATACTTCAAAACTGCACTTTCTGAAAGTTATATCTGAGTTACAGAATATTTAAGAAGTTTTCTCAATTCGCAGTAACTCTGAATTTCTGCTTCTAAGTTCAAATAACCTTTAATGCAAAGAAGTATCTGTTTGAGAAATGACCCCAAGATTGTTCAGATCCTGTTTTTCAATATTTAATATTGGTTACCTTTACTTTTGACATTAGTCAGTCGCCTGTGAGTCAGTATTTGTTACTATGTGGTACAACTGTATTGTGACATGAACTAACCCACTGCAGATTGTCAGAGCTGCTTCACACATAGCAGACATGTTGACACGGTGTCGTCTTCTGGTCTATTTATTGTACAGCTTTGATATTTTAACTTTATGGTCAAACTCACCCTCTGGCCACCAACACACTTCACAACCACCATCGGTAATATGTCAAAATGAAAATGCCATAACTGTAAATACTCTAGTTTAGTTAAAAGTAATGCAAACATTTCAAAAGGTAAAACTATGAGGAAAAAAACACAAAACAACATTTGCGCTAAACATGGGTAATTTTTATTTAGCTAGTGAGTTACCTAGAGGAGAAAACTGTCACATCCTTGCAGTTGATGTCTTGCCGTTTTGGGGGGAGTCCCGGAGGAGCCGAGCAGGAGGGGGTGGGGGTGCTGCGGGAGTTCTCCCAAAAGTGCTAAGAGTTGCGGAGGACAGAGAGTCTGATTGAGTCGGAGGTACGGTGGCGTACATCGACATCAGAGCAGAGACAGTCACCCACGGCTGGTTCTATCAGGGCAGCAGGTTTCTCCTCAGACAAATGCACTTCAGAATGACAGAATCACAAGAGAGAGAGAAAGAGAGAGGAAAAAAAACAAAGATGTGCACTGGCCGACGTGTGTCGACCTGCTGCGGAACTGTAATCTTTTAGTACACAGAAACAGATGCAGAAAGGAAGGGAGCAGGGTGAGAGAGGATTCATCCTATGATTGGCATGACTGTGGCCGTTTCCCAATTATTTCCTCCCACCCGTCAATCATCCACAGCCTCTGTCGGAGGACGATCAGACGGCTACACACAGATTCAAGTACGAGATTAATTTATACATTTTATCTTTAACTCTCTCCAGGAGCTAATGGAGCTCACCAACATCCCAAACATTTGAGGCATTTAAAAAAAGAAAAGAAAAAAAGACAATTAAGCCCGGTGAAATCTTGTGACTACTCTGGGTTAGTCAGTTAGTTGCTCACAAAGAAAATCAAAGAAGAACAGAGTTAGAGAGTTAAGGATGTTGGTAGAGGCTGTTTAGAAGGACTGAAAGTGCTTAAAAGACAAGAGTTCTTAGAGTGGGTTCTTTTCTTCTCGTGAGACGGGAACACGGGGTTTGATGCACCAGTCAACGGATACAGATGAGTCCAGCTATTGTCATGTTCAAGTGTTCCGATACGTTGTCGTCTTCAGCGGAAAAGACTGCGAGAGCCTCTCCTCCTCCCCCTCCTGGTTAGGCAAATTTTTATTTAAGGTCCTACATCATTAGTGTTGCAGTTCTAGCAGAGAGCTTGCTTGAAGGTTACTGTTTATTTCTATTACGCTCCTGGCAAGAGAGAAAAAACAAACCAAGAAGACACGATCAGTGGTTGGCACCATGGGACACAAACAGATGAAGAGAACATAGATAATCAAAACCCCACAAATTTATGAAGGCAATTGATTTCACTTCTTGAACAACATGTATTGATAGAATGCTCTCATTGTGTTGGTCTACTTTTGTACAAATCTGCAAATGTCATCTCCGAGAAATTAAGTTTCTCTTTCAAGTATGTGGCAATGATGAACCCTTAAACAAAGAAATGTAACTGAGCGTTAATATTTTACAGTTTAACCATAAAACTTTAAATAAATAAATACAAAGAAAAATGCAATTAGCACGTTTTCAGTTTCTCACTTCCCGATGCAGACGGAGCAGACAGCGAGATAAAAATATGAAC